TATTTCTATGATGAGGATGTGGCACAGGTTTTATTACTAAAATTTGAATACAATGAAGAAAGAGAAAAAAATATATAAACAAATAACAAAATATTACTGATTGATATCATTATTCCAGTAAGTTATGAACTACCTAGGGATATGATATGGAGTATGTGCAAGGAAAACAGCCATTACCATATCAAATACAGCATATCAAATGACAGAAACAAAATTGCTTATGCACAAAAGAGAGATCATAATATTGGAATGGGGAGGCAAGGAGTCTTCACACTGCACCTAAGTTTTTGTGTGTGCTCGGCCTACAAGGCGCATGATGTGAGAGTGATCAATCAAGGAAGGCTAATGCTTGGATTTTTTGCCATGTGTAGTCAGCGAAGTACCCAGCTCCAAAGGGGTTAATAAAAAATAATAATAATAGTCCATCATTATTATCATTTGCATTTAATTGCATTTAATTTTAATATCATTATATACTTTCTAACTAAAAGGATATTCAGAATTAATATTGATTTTAAACAATTGTATGCAGGTACAGGTAATGTCCACAGTATTATGATTATTTTTTCTTTAGTTTTTTATTACATACAGTTGGCTCCAGAAGTCCTTAACGACAGAGACAATTAGTAGCCCAACATGACGTCATCTGACTTCCCATTGCTTTAATTTTTTTTTCTATTTCTATGAACCTGAAGCTACTGGGGATAGCATGTACTTACACATGCCATGCCCACCATGAGTTTAGTTTAATAATTGTCTTATGGATAGATGGCTCCACAAGTATAAGGTCAATGAGCCAATTACAAGTACTATGTACCTCACCTATTTACCCTTTTCCTTGATTTTTGGAAAAATTTCTGCTATCTTATCCTGCTGTTTGTAATGTTAGTAACACTAAAATAATTATATATTGCTATCAATATTAACTGCATTAATATTGATAGCATTAGTGGAAAATAAGGGACACTCAAGAAAAGATGAAATCAGATGAGGTCACAAGTTCTAGTAATGGACTTCTTAAAGTGCAGGGTCATTTCACAAAAAAAAATACTCCAGTGAACACACAATTAGAATTTCATGGTGACATTGGGTTAATATTGGCAGTTATCATTATAATTGATGTTATTATGATACTAATATTATCAAAATACTATGAGGAATAAAAGATAACAAAAATATTTCCAAAAATCAAGGAAAAGGCAAAACAGGTGAGATAACTAAGACCAGTGCTTAACTCCTTAGTGACATGAAGCATTCTATATGCCATCTCAGCACAAAGGGTCGATATAAATCATGAGTGAAAAAATAAAAATATTCTCAGCAGAAAATGTTCAATTTTTTTTTTCAATGTTGGTTAAATCATGATTGATTGAGGTTACTCTCACAAATGGGTATATAAAAATCTAACTACCCATCTACAACTTGAAACAATACTCACCTAATAACAGCTAATTTTAAATTAATGGTTCCCTCTTGATTTTCTCTTCTAAATACAGATGATACCCACCTGAAAGATTACAAATTTCTCAATATAATAATATTCTACTATGGTGTACAATGTCTAAATTATTATTTTTTTATGTTTATTATCAGATTTCATAAAAGTTCAAGTAACAATACCACTATTTACTAATATGTTAAAAAAAACTTACTTGATAAAATTCAGTGTATCCTTGTACATTGTGAGTGGTGCAGATGTGTCATGATCATTTTCCATTGCCCTACCACTCAGTATGAAATAGAGGGCAGCCTCTAGGTACTTCATGGCCTGCATAGAACGGTCAGCTTCCCCATCAGCTATGTGCTTTAGCTCCTTTGCTTTGTTCAGGTAGCAAGTGTAATCCCTGGAATTCACATAATACTACCTAATATTTTGGAACAGAATGTCTGCACATACAGACAATACCAACAGTGTATTTAAAAAAGTATCAAGGAAATTTATCAATAATCTTACTATTAACTTTAGAATTCATTATAACATCTGAACTCTTACCTATTAACTTCTGGTAATCTTTCAAGATAAGAGCCATAATGTCTCTCATGAGGGTTAGCATAGTTCCCATGCCCTACAGCTCTGGAATGGAAAATTAACAAACATTATAAATTGACAACTATTCTACTCCTAGATACAATTAAATCACTCTAGATAACAAAGTTTTTTTGTGTAACTACATTACAAATCTGGAAGTGCTTACTGGTCTACAGCTGGCCGGCCAGTGGCAAGAGAAGGGTGTACAGCCCCAGATCCAACAACTGTGGTTGCACCTGACAATCTATGAGTAACAGGTGGTACCATAGATGCACTGCTTTCTAAATGAGCTACAGATGTTGAGGAATCCATTGCCCCTGCCTGAGTCGTCCCTGTTTGGTCATTAGCTGACCTATAAAGTGCACTGCTGACATTGGATTCATGTTCTGATGCTGGTCTTGGCTGGTAACCAGACATCTCTGTACTTGCTGTTGCACCATTTGCTTCACCTTTTTCCTGAAATGATTCATTTATTATTGAAAACATAAAACTTATCACAACCACAAAAATATAGAAAAAAAAAGAAAGACAGAATGAAGATGAAGAAAAAAAGATAAAGAAAAAAGGATGAGAAGTCCAGACCAAGAAAAGTAAAAAGAAGGAAATGTGCATGTGCATGCAAGTACACACACAAATAATTTCTTGGTAACCACAGAGGATACACTTTGTTGATACCAAAGTCCTCAGATATTTAACCCCTACAATCTAGATAACGTTACAGTCCCAACATGTAAAAATCTGGGTTTTGGGCCAGGTGATGTGAAATGCCGTCATCAGACAAAGTGGCCGTAGGCCAGGTAATGTGGAACTTGCTGTCATGAGCCAGGTTGACAGTAGGCCAGGTAATGTGGAACTTGCTGTCATGAGCCAGGTTGACAGAGTGCACAGACCACTTGGAGTGTGACTAGTCTCATTAAGAGCTTAGAAGGAAAGTAATGTGCATAAGCTGAAATTGGAAGTGTGCCAGCTCCATGGAGGATGCCATTTCCATGCAGTGCATTATATTCCTGGCTGCTGAGACTAGCAGTGCAGATTGAAAATTAAAAAAGAAATAAGATATTTGATACAAATAACCATATGTTATTTACTATATAGAGAGATGATATGGAGTTTGAGCATGGAAAATAAGTCAATTACCATCTAGATAATGCAAATCAATATGGACATTGGAAAATGGAAAAAAAATATATATAATTTTTTTTTTTTTTGCAAAAGGTAGGCACAGTCTTGTCATTGCTCATGACTTTGCACACGCCCAACCTATACTCCACTTACCCGGGATATTGGCTACTTCCGTAACCCACTGCCTTTCAGTACTGTGATTTCCATGACGCAACCAGATCCAATGGGTTACGTCTGTTTTAACCCACTGGATCCTGATGCATTATTGCTATCATGTGACCCAAAATAAAGGAATTACGAGTTACTTGAGCAGCCACACTGCAGGTGAGTAGCTTGTAGGCCAGGTGCATAAAAACACTTGTAAACTTACAAGACTCCATGCCTCCCCTTTGCAATGCTATATTCTCTTTTAAATCATAAGCGTTTTTAGCTTTCTCGGCATTTTCTGTAATAATGAAATGGCATCCTGCCTGGAACCATTGCTCTTCCAGTCATGGCTCATGGATAGTATATTCTAAATGTTTGTCAATGGAAATAATGCAAAGGACCCTTTTCAAACACCAAATGAGTCTGATCAACTCTCCAAGAGCTTTGTGCACTTTAGGAAGATCATTCCCACCACCCAAGTAAGCCAAAATGCTTACTATGGCAAGTTTGTGTCATCCAGGCCCTCAGCTAAATTTTCCATTGACGACATGGTCATGCCATATGCCCTTCAAGCCAAATCCTTTCATGATGTTATAATCACATCATCCTGATTGTTAAAAATCCATATATAACATGCACACAATGTTGTGAAATACAGAGTTATTATATGGAATTCCTTAAGGAATAATTAAAGAAAGTCTATATTGTTTAGTACAAGCTATAAAGAAGTGATAAATCTGCCCCCCCCCCATTTTTTTTTTTTTTTATCATTATTATTTTATCTTACCTTAAATCTATTTCATCTTTTTTTCCCACTGGATCCTCATGCTTGACTGCCCTCATGTGGCCCAAAATATGGCATTAAGGCCAGGCTCACATGCACATTTGTGTGCGGTGATAAGACTCCATGCCTCCCATTTGCAATATTATTTTCTCTTTTGTGGTCTCAGCTTTTTTTATTCTTTATTTTTTGACGTTTTCCAATGTTGACATTTGTTATTTGATTTGCTTTATCCAGATGGTAACAGACTGTTTTCCTTGTGCAGGGTCCACACCATCTCTCTAGATAGTCCTGAACTTAATGCAGTAATATGAACACGAAGTATCATTTTGTTATTTGCATTTTCCTTTTCATAATATTCAATTTTCTGTAACACAGAAAATGGCCTCCTCTCTAGAGCTGGTGCTCTTTCAGTTATGGTTCATGGAGAATATATTCCACATGTTTATCAACAGAAATAATGCAAAAGCCCCTTTCTAAACACCAAATGAGTCTAATCATCCTCCAAGAGCTTTGTGCACTTATGGCAAATCATTCCCATCACCCAAGCCTTTAGTCGCAATGCTCACAATGGCAAGTTTGTTACCCCAGCCCTCAGCCAAATTTTTCCATGATGGCATATTCATGTCTCCTGCCCCACTAGCCACTTATGCAAGTGTAAAATATTAAATACCAACCTTGCCACTAAAAGCCAGCTGATTTACTTGATTTGCATTTGTAACACTCTCCTCTTCTTCACCAAACTCTGTAGCTTGATTTCTTCCAGAATCTTCTGGTAAACTCTTATAATCCTTCTGAAAACAAAAACAAAATTCCAAAAAGTTATTATCAACTACATCATAAAGGATATATCAAATAATAATTAATTCATTTTTCTGTTAAGACATATTTCCATTACACTGTTCAAAGAAATAAAATATTGCCATAAGAAAGCAAAAAGCAACTTACCTGACTAGAATGTTGAGAATGCTTCGATCTTTGACTGTATTTGGATTGCTGTATGTCTTCTTCTTGTGGCCATGCATTCTGGCTATTATCAACCATCTGCTGGCTTGCTGATCTTACATCTGGACTGTTCATAGGAACATCAGCTGCATCATTAGTCCCCTTTGACAGTCTAGCCTTTTTGCTGCGCTTTTCCGTTGATTCACTAGTACTGCGCGAGCTGCTCTTAGTACTCTCCAAACTGTTGAGTTACAACTCATATCAATTGCCTTTATCTATTAAACAACAATCTTCTGAAATTATCAAATGTTATCTATTATGAGGAAGCACATCATAAAAGTTTTTTCATGTACAAAATGAGAGGGAGATACGATCTTTGGCATAAATATATGCTAAAAGAAGTCATGACTGAAGTTTCCAATGCCACAGTAAGTTACTGGCTGGATTTACCTCCACTGGCATACTTTAGTACCAATATACAAGGAAATACCATAGAATTTTGTAATTGGCCTAACTCTGTAGGCACAGTCTTTCACTTAAAGAGCTTAGGGAATTATTTACCAAATAAGACAACTGAGTATAATTTTCAAATATTCTGCATCACTGGTTGTGGTTCCTCTCTATCTCCCAAGGTCTCTCTCTGTCTGTGGGTTTCACACATATGCACACACAAGAAAAAAACAAAACACAGTCTGTCCCTCAGCACTGACTTTCAATTTAAGATGGCCAATCCCATTCCGTAAATCGGGCAATAGTACAAAAATACATATACAAGTGTTTATATTTGTGTATTTATAAATATAACGTATAAAAATAACATCATATCCACCTGAAAGATATAAATGCTTTTAGAAGTATTTCTAATAAGTTTACTTTTATCTTACCTGCTATCACGTTCATGTTCTCTTTTACGTGTGATGGTACTGCGTTCACTCTCGACACTTGTGTCTCGTCTGCTTCTACGGACATCACTGGAACTGCTGTCAGTTGGAGGTACACTTCCATGTTCAGATGGGATACGTTCACTATTACTCTGTAATATTTGGAAAAGAAAAAATTTATAATAACATTCAAATGAGGTGTGTTACCTCTGCTTCAGTTTCTGTATAAACATGATACAAATACGTCAAAAAGTTCAACTTACGTGTGCCCTCTTCCTGTCTCGAGAAGGTGGAGATTTTTCTGGCTGTTTATCTTTCTTTTTCTTCTTCTGATGTTGGCGTGAAGTAGAACTATCTGATGCAATAGATGACATTGGACTGGCTGAGACATTACGCTGTCTGACACTACCAGGTCTGACCAATGGTGTGTCATCAGGTTCCCTGATACAATGAAATTTCAATTATAGCAAAAGCATATATAGGAAAATTAAATACATCTGAACACTGTCTACAGGCTGGGATATGTTCCAGAAAACTGAACTTTTACTGCTGCTAAATGTAATTAAATACCTCCTACTCAACAGTTACAGTTAATAGGTTTCAACAAATGCTGCCTGATATTGTATATCTGTCCCTTCACTAGGATTACTGTCTGCCATAAGCTATTTACCTGTTTTATGTCCTTGATAAAGAAATCAATTAACTAGTAATACTGAGCTAGGACCTCATATGTTTATCTTCATGGTAAGCATGCATGATGCACCTATCTTGGTAACAGTTCAATTCACTTGATAATTATCACTATTGGTATATAGTTATATTTCAATATACAGTATCATGTAGTTCTGTGTACAGTATTTTGCATTGTTTTTAAAAGAAACCATGTTAATTATTTTCTATAAGTAGTTAAGTTTCCACATAATTTTCTCTATCCTGCTTGCTTGCCACTGTTGGTTTCAATCTACCTGTATATTTCTTTAACAATTCTCACTCAGTAGAAATCTGACTCCTTTTGTTCACATCAAATAACTTCAAACTGAAAAAGCAATACTGACTTAAATGAACATGTACAAAAAAGTATGAGTGAGAATGAAATTCATGTTCTTCATTCCACACTTTTTTCAACAAAATTGATGTAGGATAGCTTACTTTGTAGCTAATATAATTGTGCAGCTTTTGTAAGGTTATGCAGCAAATACAGTCATGTAGAAAATTTAGGAATTTACCAATTTTTTATTTTTATTGCAAAATAACAACTTCAACTGAAAGGGGGTGTTTATTTTTTATTTTTTCATTCATTCTGATATCGCCCTATGGGCTGGATAAGACAGTAAGTCTAAAATTCCTAAGAAGAAGAAGAAAACTTTCAAGGTACCTGAGCCTCCCAAGCCTGAGTTGGTCAACATATGGCCTTACTACATTTAATGTGGTTGTAAAGAGACACTGCATTCTCATTCCCGATGTATGAGGATGCATGACACATGTTAGTGTACGTTAAAGAACATAGTTTATGCCATAAAAATTGCCAGACAATCCTGAAGCCTAAGCTCCCATCACCTGGGTGCAATGAGTTAATCTACTACCTTACAGTCTCAAGCTACTCACATACTAAGCAAATTATCATTTTCTATTAAGTGGCAGTATACATGACAGTTTACAAATCAACAATCAAGCCTACCAAAGATAATGAAAATATGGTGCTACCTGAAAAAGAAAAGAAAAGAAAAAAAGAAAGGAAAAATAGTATAAATTATGATGCTAATAAGGATGATAGCAACTATAAATGCAAATACCATTAAAACAAAAGAAAAGAAAACAAAACAAATCAAAAACATTATCAACATCAATCAGAGATAATAAGAGAACAGACAAATCATAAATGCAAAATCATAAATTGTATATTTACTAATAGGACATCAACACAGAAAGGGAATTTGTGAAATATCCACTTTAGGAATGAAGAAAATGATGGAAAAAATAAATATGAAAAACTTTCCCTTTACAAGTTAAGTAATTTTTTCACAAAGTTATTGAATTCCCTTATAACACACATCCTCCACCAGTCCATTCAGAAATTCCTTAAATACTTTGTCAACCACAGAGTATTTCCTTCTGAAAAGGTGAAAATCACTAGCGGCTTGTTGGTGGATAGTCCAAAAATTTTAACCCAAAACTGTTTTGCCTTCCAGGAGGGTATGATAATTCAGTGCCATGAAGAAGGATAACACTTTATGACACCAGGGCTGTCCCATGATTCTGAATAACTTGGCACTGTACTGCATAATACAACTACTTACTGGCACTCTTTGGGGTACAGCCTACTTTTTCATCTAAGCTGGTGAGGATGTGTATGCAACGGGAATCAAAAAAACTTATCTTGTTCTACTGCAACTGTTTAAATGTACAGGATTGATATATACGAGAATCATTTGAAAAGTAATATACTGATGAGTTATCTTTCCCGAATAACCCTCACATGCTGGAACAGCAAGCCATGTCTACTGTGATTTTGTAGATCAATTTTGCTCACACAAGTATTTAATCACCAAGGAGTTAATTACTGGCCTACCTTGTCTCACATGCTTACCATTTTCCTTGATTTAATAAAATGTATAATACAATACTTTTTACTATTAGTATTAACAATAACATTATAATAATCCCAATGTCAATATTAATAACAAATGTAACAACAGTAATGATGTTTGTAACATTAATAAGAAAAGAAACTAAGAAAGGGTATAAGGAATGAAAGAAAGAATTGCTTCTTGGAAATTCGGTGAATTGGTTGCCAGGTGTGTTCAGGTAGGCCTACTAATGGAGCTATCTATGTGTAAACAAAATTCTAAAACATGACTACAATGAATAGTGCAATTCCCCAGCATCAGTTGGTTCATAAAATAAAATCCTGCTGCTAGGTATATGCACTGTTCAATGTGGTTTTGTTCTATCAACTTTGTTTACATATAAATGGATTCACAAGCATATAGCCATTAAGGACTTAATTACTAAGCCTACCAGAACTCACTTATTTACCAGATTCCTTGATTTTTTTTTTTTTTTTTTTTTTTGGGGGGGGGGGTCTCTCTATCATCACTATCCATTAATGTTATGATTAGTACAATCTCTATTATAACTTAAAAGTTACAAAAAAAAAAAAAATAGATTTATTAACTGACTCCTTGGTTACTTTATAACACTGAAACATTTGTGTGTAAACAAATCAGTAACAAAAAGCTGCTGTGGACAGGACTTGTAAACATCCAGACCCTTAAAAAGTAATGATGTCAATAATGTAGTGATGTTGATAGTTGTAACAATGATAATGGTGGCAGTGATGATTAGAATAAACAAAAAAACATAAACAAGCACAAGTGGAATAAACAAAAAAGTAATAAACAAGCACTATTGACCAAAAAGGTAATAATAATAATAATAATATACTACTACTAGTAATAGCAATGATAAAAACAATAATATGCGACAAAATAAAACTACTATGACATTGAATAATAGCTAAAAATGTAATAACAAAAAAAAAAAATCAACACTACTAGCAGTGCCATAATCAATGTATTGGTACTATAGATAGACAAGAATTATAATAACAAAAAGCTTAATAATTATAGTGGCGATATTAATGGCAATGGCAAAATCAATACTGATAACAAAAGACATGAATGAAACTGAATCACTAATATTCGTACATTACTGGCAATACTAACAATATTACTATACTCGCAGTGAGGGCCAAAATTCTAGAACTAAGCAAGAAGAATAGAAAAAGATGAAAAGGCTTGGGAGGTGGCCAAAATATTCTAACAGCAGAGGTAAGTATGATGCCTCAACATTAACAGTGGAGGGAAACAGGCACTGCAGTGCCTTAAAAATACCAGGATTCTTTTGTCATGTAAACACACATACATATATGTACATATATATACATACATACTTACATACACACACACACACACACATACATACACACACACACACATTATATATATATATATAATATATATATATATATATATATATATATATATATATATATATATATATATATATTTATATATATATAATATATAAATATATATATATATATATATATATATATATATATATATATATATATATAATATAATTTATATACATATATATATATATATATATATATATTATATATATATATATATTAATATATATATATATTATATATATATATTACACACACACACACACATACACACACACACACATATAGACATATTCACAAATATTTATACACATATAAACATATATACATACATACAAACATATATACATATATATATATATATATATATATATATATATATATATATATATATATATTATATATATATATATATATATATATATATATATATATATATATATATATATATATATATATATATATATATATATATATATATAATATATATATATATATATATATATATATATATATATATATATATAATATAT